AAAACTCATGAAAATCGAAAAGCAACATGAAATTTTCCTTTAAGGAAAATGTCTCATTTATTCTGTGTTATATCTTTGTACTTAACAATATATTTTCAATATAAATATGAATTTATAATACATATCCAAGTAAATTGTACTCATTTTTACAAAACTAGATATACATTATAAATTCATACCTAATATTTTTGAGCGCTATCTAGTTCAGACTGAATAAAACATTTTCCATAAATTTTATAGACAATGTACTCTTTTATATTTTCAAATTTATATTTTCAGTATTTAAATAAAATGCAATTCAATAATTCATTTCAAAACACATTTCATTTAAAAACTTACATGTTTATGCTTTTAGCATAAAGATAACGACATGTATTATTCAAATGGTCATATTATTTCAATGACTTCACAATTTTAAAGCACGTTTTTGTCTCGATAATAATATAGAAATATGTATTTCTATACATGTCGAAAAGCATGTGCCGCCACTTTATTGAATTGTTATTGATAAAGCAAATATTGATAATGATAACATGAAATATCAATATCGATCTCGATAATGAGTTAATCGCAAGACTAAATGAAATATCATAGTCGACAGATCGTGGCGTAATCGAATAGTACGTACGTGCTGCGCAACGCAAAGTTATATCACACATCTAAATTAGAGCTAGCAGCGCAATCATTCATGCGTGTCAGTAGTGCCGCGGAACGAAATTCCACCACATTGCGTCCTGGTCAAGTAATTTAATAATAATTATTCCCTCACAGGAGACGGCCGCAAAACGTGGCCCATTGCCACTGTCGACCGACTCATAAATCACCAGCTAACGCCTAACTTAGTCGCTGATCGTGATTTAATGCCAGTAAAATGCTAACAAGCGTATGAATGAGTCAATAAGAGACATCATTTATGAGGAAGTCTTAAAGTGATGCTGGAGTGACGGCTAAACTTGATCGATGTGGATAGTACAGACTTTTTTTAATTCCAAATTTAAAATCTCGATAATAGTGACATTTTTAATTTATTTCTTACATTATCGTATCTTACACTATTTCACTCAAACGCATATATCTGTCCTTACTTAACATATTGCAACGCTATCTCTTGCAAGATCCACCTACTGGTGCTCTTGTAATTGTACTTCTGCAAGAGCACTTACTGCTAGACGCAATTACTGCTTTGTTTATTGAGTCTTCGCTAAGCATACATATACACGTAATTTGCAGATCAATATAAAGCTATTTTTAAGCTTTTAATTTTCAGTGAACTCAGTATTGTTCGTTCAGATAATCCAACGGATGATGCATTTTTCCATATGAGCTATAAAACTTTTGTATTAAGGAAATATCTACGTCAAGTGATAGTTCTACGAGTTGAAAAATAAGTAAGTTTTCAATCTCTCTCTTTCAATTTTAGTATAAAACTGTACCACTGCATCATCTCCTAATTTTGTATCTACTTCAATCCTATAAAAGGATTTTTATTCCGTTCAGTTAATTATTTGGAGATTTTTATAGAACTGTAATATTTCGATAATTTGGTCACTCTCCTTGAATAGTAACATTAGTCAACGTTATTCGCAAGATAGTCTCTCTTTCTCTCTTTCAGTGCCATTTTAGGTAATATCTAGGAATAAATAAAAGGATAAAAGAAATCTGATAAAAAAAAGATACTTTTAACAGAGATAGTAGAATTTGTGAATCATGTTCCAACGCAGACAAACCAAACGAAGATGATCAAATTCAGATGACGGTTTGTTGCCCGTCGGCTATCACGAAAAAATCAGTGGATATTCATCGTCACGGTTTTTGGCCACGAGTTCACCGCAATGCGCGCAGTACTCCTGGCCATGAATGACGAGACAAAGAAGAATCTCCAGGGGAAACGGTATAAGTTCCAACTTGTGGTGAACGCGATTATATCGATCGTTATTGTATAGGTACAAAGGCTTCAGAGAGTGAGCGGGAACGTGTGAGTGAGTGTGTAATGTGTGTATTATCAAGGTACACCGGATGCGTTGATAAATCCGCTGAAGAAGAACGTAATAGGGAAGCGCGAACATTCTGCCGAGGACATGGAGATTTCTCTTAATTGAACTGCACGTAAATAACATAATATCGCGTGAACGAGTGTGCCGCGTTAATTGGATAGGTAAATTTAATGTTTGCAGAGCTTCAATAATCGCTCTCGCGCGTACTGAGCGGACTTTAACTCGGTAAAAAGCACGCCGTAATTTTACATCAGAGACCATCCTGATTTTCTTGGTTTTAATCGAAGGCAAATATTTATTCCTAGATTATTCATATAACCCATGCTAATCGCTATTTCATAAATTCATCAGGGCCCGCATTAGAGCAATTTTGATAGAATCTCGATAAGCGAGCGCGTATTATTAGACACCTGTATGCTCTCTCTCAGTCGGGGTAATAAGGCGTCACTTGATTTTTATCCAGCCTTTCTCCTTTATCGTACTATCTGGAGCATATTCCGCAATCTATTTGCGGACGTAATAATCTAACGTGGTCGTCAACTTGTGAAGCTCGCTCTCTCGCAAACGTGGAAACGAATCGCTTGGCGAGGTCTCTCTGCGTTATTCATTCGACGCCGGAGCAAAGACTCTCGCTCGACCGCGCCCGTAAATTATTTCCGGCCGAAACGAAGTAGTTGAAATACAACTTGCATGAAATCCCATTTTTCCTATCAAATACGAGATCCCGTGGACTGCAAATAACTGCTTTCCAAATATCCCTTCGCGATAAGATACATTGCCGTGCGGCTGATATCATCTCAATTAGCACCCGTCGTGTCAAAAACGTTGGCGAAGCGATCAAACACGCGAATTAAATTCAAGGGGAAACGATCGTTGATGAGATCTACGAAATACGCTACACACGTTCAGTATAAGATTGCCCACGTCTATCAGTCTGTAAGGCGTAGCTGACCCCTGTATACATACACCATATACGATGATACAGACGAGATAAAACGTGTAAAAGTACATACGCTAGTATGACAGAATACGATGACTGTTTGGAGGAAGTACCCGGGGAATCTCTCGGAAACTTTGGAGCGGTCCGTGCAGAAGGCGTTGGGTCAACTGCCACGAATGCACTCTGGACTTTTGGGGTCGCTCCGACGACGATATTTTCATTCGAGAACTCGAATTCTCAAAGCAGCAGCTACCGTCAGAGCAGAGCAAGCACTGTCAGAGTTTCGTGGCAATAAAGAGAACAGGCGATGAAAAGACGCGTCAAGCGAGAAGGATGGAAAATAGAGCATATATGTGCTCGGAAAAGATGTATGTGCGCAGAATTGTCCAAAGCTTTCCACCTGTGTGCCGACGATGGATGCAAAGCACGATTGCCAGCACAGAAAGAATTATCGGTGTTATCGACGATCAGAGAAAATCCAACGTACTCAAATCCAATTTCTTTCTTTTTTCTTTTTATTTGCGTCTACTCTGTAGACGCAATAAAATACTGGAATAGATTATTAGACAAGATAGAGATTGGTAATTTTTTCGTACACGTGTAAGGGCCCTCGCGTCAAACAAATGACGAAAAAGTAACCATACATCAACCATCCAATATTGTAGACAACTCTCCCTTAAACGGCTGACACATAAATCTTCGCTTATCCTTTCAACCACGTGTCAGCGTAAGCGGTGCATTTTTCGCACGCGCATAAACCACTCTCCTCCTCGGTGGAATCGAGTGGCGGCAACAATGAGAGATACCAGAATATCGTACCTCCCTCCTCCCTCTCCATCGTACGATATAAAAGCAGCCCCCGCGCGTCAGTGGCGATCCAGATCGTTAAAATCTCGTCTTCTCGACGAGACGAATGCGGTTCGTGGCGCGCCGCGGCGCCCGCGCCGGCGTCTCCGCGCCCAGGGATTATGGATGCGTTCCACTTCCGATAACGCGCGAAACGTGAAGGCGTTTGTGCCTTCGCCCTTACGCCCGACTGCTCCCTTTTCCCGAACGATCCGCCCCCGCGCGCCATGTTTCGCGCCCGCACACCTCGTCGAAGTTGGCAACAGCATCTGGAGCGTTAAGGGTGGATGAGCGATGTGCCGGTGTCTTGCGACGTGATGGATCGTCCAATACCAGCCAATATGCAGTATTGCACGTGGAGTGGCAAACTGGTATCCATGCATCAAATCGGCGAGCAGAGGGCAGTCGGAAAGAAGGAATGGTCAGGAGAATGAAGAGAGAGAGTGGAAGTTTGGTGTGTCCTACACGACACGTTACCGCACATACTACCGTATGCTCGGTCGCTTCCGTCGTGGTCAGAGAACGGTTCTTGCCGATCCATCTTTAGTAGTACCATAAGGTGCATCTCCAATTGCATGGGATATATCTATGTACGGCTATGTATCTACACATGTACGTATACTTGAAAGTACATGCATATGTACATACATACACACACACACACACACACACACACACACACACACACACACACACACATATATATATGTGTATACACATATACAATATATATGTACGTATACGCGAAATTCGAGATGTCCCGGTAAGAACGGTTAGGATGCCGGTACTGCGAGCTACGTGGTTGTGCCATGTGTTTAGAACGTCAGGCAACCAGACACGTTTCTCGAGACAATTTCTTGCCGTCTTATTTCATCCGGACGGATACGACCGTGCACCAAATCGTATTCACTTTTCTGTTTAACGGATTGTCCTAAAGGACCAGTTTGATAAATGAGCCATAAGGAAGAAAGAGAAGACGGATCAAATCAAAATGTAACAATACATAAATAGCAGTCTAGCTAGTATTAAAAATACACATTCAAGTGACAATTAATAAAAAATTTTAAATAAATTCAACAACAATTCGATTTTTCATTCGTGATACTTTCGGTCATTGACTTGAAGCTTTCTACTCAAAAATAATCAGGTCAAATTCTCTGTTTAATTCTCAGACAAATTTAATAAAGAGAACGATAAACGTGAGAGAAATATTGACTCACCGAAACGTCAAAGTGGTGAAAGGTCGATAGCTCTTGTGACTATTGATGCTCTCCATCGGCGTACCCCAGAAATCATCGTTGAGGACACTGCTCCACGATGCCTCGCCGATCACGTCCCTATTTCTCACCACCGCCGGGATATCGTCGTGCACGAAGTCGCAGTCGAGCGCATTGAGATAACAGCCGACTGCGACAAGCGCGACCGCCGCGTAGATGCACCATCCCGGTGGCTCGTTCGCCTCAGTCTCGTTGCATCCGCTACGGCCACCTTTCTTGATCGATGATGTCTGGCAGAAGCAAGTGGAACCGTTGTTCCGTCGCCTCATGTCGCTTGGCGTTGTTCGGTACCACGCACGAGATAAGTTCTCACGTTCGTTCGTACGTCCGCGAGCCCGAAGCGCGAGCACTAACATGAAGTCGCGAGCCGTTTTTTCGGACACCGTTATCTCCTGCGCGATTGACCGCACTGCCCAGTATAACTGCACTGATCGGAATCAGCTGACTCTCGCATTTCTAAAGCGAACGCTCAGGTGAGAGTTCACATTCGGAAAGCGTACCTGCTTCCTTTCAACGTTTAAGGATCGCTTCTAAGCACCGTTTCAATTACAAACCTCGATTTCATCCTTGGTGTTTGTTTCATCAACAGCTTTACAGGCGGAGAAATTGTAAAGGCCGATTGCTTGTATATACCGTTTGGCTTTTCAGTTCCCGGTCGAGTCAAAGAGACATGATTCTTGCGTAACACTGGCGGCAAAGCGACGCGAAATGTCGCGGTGCTAGCCGGTACCTCGCGTTGATCTCTCCCATTTAGGCTGACGACGCTACCTCGATGAGCATTCGTTTGTCCCACGGTGAGCTTGATAAATGACTGCAGAAGTTCATTATTTATCGGCTCGAGCGTGACTCTAGATGAAGGGTGGTAGCAGGTTCCGCGGTAAACTGCTCACGATTCGGATAATAGCCCTCGCGTGGACTTTCCTCGGGAATTGTCCCCGTGGGAGATCCAGGTAAGATCCTTTTTACGTAACCGCGTAACAACGTAACAGCTCGTTATCGCGCTAGCGGGTATTGGATCCGCTTTCCAGCCACAAATCACTGATCCGCGCTGATCATTACGGATTCTCCCGGCAAAGTAAAACGATATGTCTATAGCACACTTACCGCTCTCGAATGTAAGTGACAAGTTAACGCTACGGTTATATAAATTGCGACTTCGTTCCGGAGCAGGTCACGCATTTGATGTTCATTATCTACCTACTCTATAAACGGATTTTCAATTACGTTGACACGGAATATAGCATTGAACATTTCTTCTGGCGCTCGATATTTCGTGAGCCCTAACAGTTGGTATAAACGTTTGCGCAAACACAATTAATATAATTGCTTGATGAAAGATAACAATTTATTTTGATCGTCCTACGTCAATGCGGTTCTCGTGCGTTTCAAGAGCGAGAACTCGTACGGTCAGTGATGAGTCCCCATTTTCTTTTTGCTGCATTCGGAAAATTTTGTAGAATTATGGAGAACAGGGTGCAACGAGAAGACGGCTGTGTGACCCAGATATACTCGTAGCCAGAGCTCCTCCGTCGCCACAATTTTACTGTGCATATAGATCTATACAAACGGCTCGTATCTCGCCGAAGGCATGGCTTGAAATTCTCTGCGACAGCACCTTCACCTCTCGTCGACCTCCTGCTTTTCTCGCTACCACTCTCCTATCTCCTTCCCTTGGCGCCACTGCCACTTGGTCGCTTCTTCTTGTTCCCTGTCCTCCTTCGGCTTCACTTCCTGCGTCGTCGAATTCAATCGTTGAACAAGTGTCACGATTTTTTTCTCCGATTCCATCGGGCATGCGAAAACTTCTAGGGACGAACTTCTGACGCCTTGACGATCTCACTAGTACGATTCCCACTGCTTGCCTTCAATGAGATGTCACTTAAGACAAAAGTCGGGCGTACTCGACGTTCGAGTAGTAGCTAGTTAAATGTTCTTCAATGTTCTTGTCCATTCACGTCAAATCGATCGAGTGACTTCGGACAAAGAAACGAAAAATTTCGCAAGGTAGAAAATTATGGACGATTTTTAATTAGAGGTATTTTTAATATTCTCCAATCCTTCATTTGAACTACCGAAATATTGTACTTGAAAAATTCAATACTTTACCGATTTTTTTTTTTCGATTACTTCTTTCGATACTTTTCCGATTTTTAGTTAAAAACGCGCGGTAGCATACAATTCACATTAAAGATGCTCGAAAGCGATAGCAAGGGTAAAAATATAATTTCCTTCACTAATTGATATCATAGGAGGTGATAGCTACCGCGTTTCTTTGCTTATTCGGGCGGGATAAATGTAAATACTTCTCGAAAGCTTATAATCTGATATCGGACCTTGCCAATTGGCACGAGTTGTAAATTGGTATGCACCGCACATCGGAACGTCACAGATCACGGTAACGACATCGGCGTCGGCGTCGGCGTCGAGTTGCCGCGACGACGAAAAGCGCGAGACTAAGGGATGACGGCATCCGCCCGGTTATATACCCGACGCACTCTGACCCGCAAACCGCGCCCGCGCACGAGCCACCCCCGGGGGTTTCCCTTCTGCCTGTATCCTCGCGCGCCTTTCCTTTCTTCTTCTTTCCCATTTGCCAGCACCTGCTCAACCTTGGATTCCACTGACGTCATGTTGTTTACCCATAGTTTACCTGCCAAAACAGGTCTCCCCTGAAAGACGTATGTTAAATTCAAATAAATTTCAATTATTAAAGTTGGGCACAAGCGTGACAATGTAATGATATTTTTAACGCTAGATAACTCTTATAAACAGCATTAAAATATATGAATATTTTACTTAATAATTATCATTTATATATAATAAATTGTAACAATAATTGCTAATTTTATTAAAGAAATATCATATTATTTTATTCGACGATTCTAATTGTTCCATTTTACATTTGTATTTCTAGTACTTATAGCTCATTTTAATTAAATTGAAATCGTTAACGAGATTTCTACGTTACTCGTAATGTAGTTAAGAGCGTTTGTATCGAATCTTACGAACCGGATAACAAAGACAGCACTGAGCAATTATTTATTGCCTGTATTTCCCTCTCAGGGATATCTCGCATCTAACAATACAACGAATCACGGCTCGCGAATCAGTGAACGTAATGACGATATGAGCTCGTTACTGACGATGATGATACGGTAACGAGCTCGGAGAAGTGATGCTGTATTGTATGATTGAATTTGGTTATTGTCATCACAACTACGAATATGTATCAAATTGAAATTAAATCGTATCAAGACATTATCATGTAATTTTAATTATTGTTTGAAATCATTATCACAAGTAAAACAAAATGTAAACATAAATTATTAAACACTGTATACAATAATTTATGCATACGCTAAAAAATTATCATTACTGTTATTGTTATTATTATTGTTGTTATTGTTGTTGTTGTTATTATTATTATCATTATTATTAGCGTACTGTGAGAATACCTACATATAAACTTGTAAATGAACAAGTATAGTTTTCATTTATAGAGAAGTTTATATTAAAAAAGTATGAAATTAGTTTACAAATTTTTGAAATAATAATAACACGAGCAGGAAAAGATAAAAATTTTATAAGATTAATATGGAGACAGATTAAACCCTTACTTTATTAGTTTCCATTTCTATTTTTGTCTTTAGTAAGATTCTGACGGAGTTAAATTATCTTGAGACTATCAACTATAATAGGTATATCAACATAAAATGGCAAAGATAGATCTGAATTTTTCATGTCACTAATAAGCAAGTTTCACAGAAAGTTATAATTGAGCGAGATACCGGCATTCTTCTACCAAGGAACTTAATATTAGCGACATAGCTGTCGCTCAAGTAATTCGCATAATGTACCCGGGGTTCGCAATTAATGATCATTTAGTTCGATGGCGCCGAGTAGCCGTCAGTGCCACGATTCGCAGGCGAACTTTGGCCCGCCAGCGCGTTAAACTTCCGTATGAATCTACTTTCAAACTACACAAGAATTTTTAATTACGTCCCTATAGAACGAAAAATGCCACTTACGTGTCACGTTAATAGTTCTTCGCATTCGAAGCGTTAGAGGAATGTGGAGGACTAGTCCCATGAGACTTTTAACGAATTTTTATTGCCGCAAAAGAGGACAATGACGATTCACGATAATTACTTTATTCGCACTTACAGTCTTTATTCTCCTCGGCTTCGAATGTTTGTGATAATCTTGTTTCCCACAAATGCTACACTGTTAATTTGAGTTATTTTTAATCATTTTTAAAGGTCATCACTATTCCTATTCAATATATCGTTAATTTAATTAAAATAATGAAGTTAATAATTAGAAAATATAACTTTATCTCAAATTTAGTGTCACATTTACTAAACGCAAACGTTAATATGGATATTGTTTATTTTGAAATTAATCACAGAAATAAATGGATTTATATTTTAATATGTATAGAAGTTAAAAATAACAAAATATTACTTTTAATTCAACAGATTGGATTACTATTATTTAACTCAAAAAACTGGGTTATCACTAGGGATTCGCAATCTCCAAATTGATTCGATTTTTACAAAAAGATTGCTTCAAAATAGTCCTCTTTGTCAGAAAAAGCAAATAATTTTTTTACAAAGAGATGGGTTTGTTTTTAAAATCTTTGTTTTTAGTTAGGAAGATCACAAAATAGATCGATTTAAATCGTTATTGTCATTTAAGAAAATTGATCTTTTTATCGAGACTCACTTATTTATCATTGATTTCTTGATATCTAACAATGTATTTTCGCTACTCGTTTACAGCTACAGTTTTAAGCTACTCATTTTTCCCTAAATTTGAGAATATAACATTCTCATTAGTTGATCTTTACAGATTACTTAATACTTATCATGCAAGCTCGAAGAATGTGTAAAGAATCGATCTGACAGCTCCAGCAGCGGCGTGATTTCGCTGCGGCGAGCCTAAGCTATTTCTTTGTGGACTTCCCGTTGAAGTATAAATTGGTTTTATGCTCTGTCAAGGAAGTTTCTAACTGGAAACTTATAGTCGCGGAACAAACGTCTGTAGACGGCACTGAAATATAGTGTTCGTAAACGCTCGTTGCGCCTGAATATTCAGTGACTTCGCCCACTCGCTCGCTGTCTATGTCTCATGCGCGCTGCCTACTTCGTTACACCCGGTTAACGCTTGCCATCGTCTGACCGTATTTAATAATGCACCTAACCGACGACGTCGCGACGCCGCCAACGCCCCAGGAGAGCAAGGTCTGCCAACGACCGTGAAAAGGTGTCGGAGTCCTATAAGTAAGGGCAGCCGCAATACGTGCGCGATTCTCTTTTCGTGGACTAACCCGAAGGCGAGGAGGGAAAAAGCACAC